GAAATGTTATCAATATGTTCCCTCAAAATTATGTAATATAGACTGTATAATAGGAACCATCTCCAGGTGTTGACAATTGTACGTGTGCCTGTGCTGAATAAAGGATAGCTTGATTTATCCTGGGATATGCTCCAAAGGTGTAATGAAATCATCTTACCATAAACTTGAAGGGACTGTTTACTGTGATTATGCAGAAGGATGTGAGACATAAATAAATAGAATTCTTATTAAAGTAAAAACAATGTCAATGGTTGTAAAATCCAGTTCAGACAACTCAATATCATTTAGAGAAGGGGCAGAGACTTTAGAAGGTATTGAGAATTTCATATGTCAATTTATCGTGTCCACAGATGAATCATCATGAAAAACTACCAGAAGAAAATCTAACCAAATTAACAGAATTTATTCTCTTGGATTTTGCTGATTTACCCCATCTACAGTGGTTTCTCTTTGGATTATTTCTAATCATCTACATTATTATCCTTTTGAGCAATGGCGCCATATTTCTAATAACTAAATTGGACACCGAACTTCAGAGCCCCATGTACTTTTTTCTGGCAAATTTTTCCTTTTTGGAAATCTGCTATGTATCAGCAACTATTCCCAGAATGCTGAAGAATCTTGGGACTCAGAGAAGAAGCATTTCCTTAGTTGCTTGTGCTACACAGATGTGCTTTGTTCTAATGCTTGGAGCCACAGAGTGTTTGCTCCTGACAGTGATGGCCTATGACCGCTATGTGGCCATTTGTAATCCACTGCACTATCCTCTAGTCATGAACCACAGATTCTGCATCCAGTTGGTGATTGGCTCTTGGGTCACTGACATTGCAGTTATGATAGGACAAACGTATCAGATTTTCTCTCTGCCTTTCTGTGGCCCTAACCAGATCAACCACTTCTTCTGTGACATTCCCCCAATACTCAAATTGGCCTGTGGGGACACGTCTGTCAATGAGATGTTGGTCTACATAGTTGCCGTGTTGTTTGTCATAGTTCCTTTTCTGTTGATACTTGGCTCATACAGTAAAATCATCTCCACCATCCTGAAGTTGTCATCCGTCAGAAGTCAAGCCAAAGCATTTTCCACCTGCTCGTCTCATCTTATTGTGGTGGTATTATTCTTTGGATCAGCAACTATTACATATTTAAGAAGCAAGACTGGTCACTCAGAGGGAACTGGAAAAATGCTTTCTCTTTTCTATACAATCCTGACCCCTATGTTTAATCCTATGATATATAGTCTAAGAAATAAAGATGTCATAATGGCATTGAGAAAATTGTTACAGAAATAATCCATGTTATTAAAAAATGAGTTAAATATATTAGAGTTGCTTTCTCATTTTTTTAAATTAAATTTCAACACATGTACACTTTCAAGTATACCTTACATTTCCTTATAATGGTAATAATTTCTAAATTAAAACAACCTGTAATATTGTCAGACTTTTCTGTGCAAGTTATATAAGTAACATGTGTTTTTTTTGTCGTTAAGTGTTGTTTAATCACTTCCAACTGGTGAACTTACACTGCTGACCTTGTAGTTTGAACTGACCTTTTAGTCTAGTGCATTAACCCACAGTGCCACACCAGGACTCCAGCATATTCCTTAGTATGTAGCAAGTGATTCCAGTAGTCAGTCTATCATTGTATTGTGCATTGTCCATCCTCAATTAGAACTTTTATAGGGGCTTATTCAATTTGTCAGTTGTAACATATAAACTGTCATAGGACTTATTGGAAAACATACCATTCATTTCCATGAGTGACTTTCCAGTTGTGACACCCAGTTTAAAAACCATATTAGTAATTTTTATTAAGCATTTGACCATAAAGTCACTTTGAACTGCAAGGTCAATGGTTCAAACTCGCTGGCCTCTCTTAGGAAACCCCATACACAGTCAGCTTGAGTAGGAACCGACTCCACAGCACTTAACATCATTGATTTCCAGCAAAATCAATTTTCAGAGTGATCAGAAGACCTTTCAGTGAAGATCTATTTTATAAATAGGATGATATATTAGTACATTAGACATTTTTGTTGTTGTTGTTAGCTGCCATCAACTTAGTGCAGACTCACTATTCAGTCCTTTGCCAACCTCCCAGTCATGGCTACGCTTGAATTCGCTGCAGCTGCAGCTGTGAAAATCCATCTCCTGAGGGTTTTCTTGGCTAACTCTCCACTTTACCAAGCATGATGTCCTTCTCCAGGAACTGGTTCCTTGTGATAATATGGCTGAAGTATGAGAGACAAAGTCAGGCCATCCTGGCTTCTAAGGAACATCCTAGCAGACTTTTCTAACACAGATTTGTTGTTCTTCTGGAAGACTATGGTACTTTTAATAATGTCCTCCAACTCCATATCTCACATGCATCAATTCTTCTAATTAGATATTGGGTATGATTTTTATGTATACCAGATTGAAGATTTTTACATAATACAATCCAATGGATTGATAAAATAGATATTATTATTGAATATTTATATGTAATTAGAAAATCATGTGTTTATTGAAAAGTTTTTGCTTTTGTTTTGTTTTTGGAATATGACAAAGGGAATGAAAAATTATGAGAAAATTTATTTTCAAGAAAAGATAGGTATCTACTGTAAAAACAATAGGCATCACACACATAACTTGTACACAGCATACCAAGACACACACACAAGCTCATCCATTAAAAGTGATGACTGGAAATATATTTTGGTGTTTTTTTTTAAATTGCTTTGGAGTCTATTATGACACACAGTGACTCTGTATAGGGTTTCCAAGGAGCACTTGGTAGATTAGAACCACTGACCTTGCAGTTAGCTGTCCAGGGATTATCCTAGAGCACCACATCAAGAAATATATCATCAAATGTTAATTATAAATGCTACAGTACAGTAACATTTCTATTATTTTCCTTTAACTTTCCTTAATTTGGGAGCTTATTAAGATGACATAGTGTTATCCATGTAACTAAGCATATGGAACAATAAATCTATTCAGGTAGGTAATATAAATGGTAGTAGCTAGTCCATGTGTTGTGTCAATATTTGTAATGCTCTAGCTAATTTTATTCCCTTTTCTTGTTTTAATCTCATCTGTTGAAGCTTTTATATATGAAGGCAACAGATTTCAAAAAACCAGCAAAAAACACCAAATAGATTATGAGCTATCATCAAGGCATGCAGTATAAAAAGAATGTGCTGATGCTTTCATCTACTTTTGAAGCTTTGCTCATAAAAAAGTAAGTGAGTTATACTTTCATTATGTGGAACATAATGAACCCAATTCCAAGTCGAAAGTGCAGAACTACTCCCTATTCAAAACAAGGTATAGAAAATACGGAATATCTCTAATGACAAAAGCAAGAGACAATAAATCAACCCTGACTGAGAGCACAGAAACATATTACCAAGATTTTCATGAAATATGCCTATCAAATGCTATAACAATCTAATAGAAATTATCAGAGATACGGGAAGAGTTAAAAAAAAAAGAGAATACAATAGCAAAAAATAATTTCATAAAACTTTCCAGGCAGAAATGTGTCACTTGTGAAATTTAACCGATGTGCAGTGGACCTAGAGAAGTACTGGGAAGTCCTTTCATTCCTTCTCCCTCAAAGTTTGAGAGATGTGAAACAATTAACAATGGAAACATCAATTAAAAATATTAAGATCTAGCAGATGTGAAGTACTCTATCTCTTCATACAGAAAATGGCAAATTAGCATTGTTTTCCTGGAACACTATGATACTGTCGTTACATTGTGAGCTCTCGTCCCTGAAAAAATAAATCCGTGCTAAAGGAAGGAGCTCTGGTAGTGTAGTGGTTACAAATCGGGCTGTGAACCTCAAGGTCAGCGGTTCGAAACAACCAGCTGTTAGGAGGGAGAAAGATGAGGCTTTCTGCTCCCGTAAAGATTTAAAGCCTTGGAAACCCCATACAGGGTCGTTATGAGTCGGAACAGACTCCATCGCACATAACAACACCACCAATGGTGTGGCACTGTGAGTTAATGCGCTGGACTACAAAGTCGATTTGAACTGCAAGTTCGGCAGTTCAAACTCACTAGGCACTCCTCAGAAACCCTATACAGGGTTGCTATGGGTCGGCACCAACTTGATGGCACTTAACAACAACAATGTACTTAAAATAGTTGTTATTGTACAGGGCAACTAACAAGCTAATAATCTATAGTAATCCCCACTTTTAATAAAGATATACTCTAAGTTTTATTTTCACCATTAGCTTTTTTTTTTTTTTTTCACCGTTAACTTTTAAGATAGGATGATTGTTTGCAGCTGGGTGGTAGATAAATTTCAGATGTCTTTATTATGTTGTTTCAAATTATTTTGAATTGAATATATAGTTGGAGAACAATTCACTTACACTGCTCAGAACAGATTTTTTTAATCTTAGGAAATGCATAAAACATGTATTTACATTTATGTGTGCTTGTTTACGTGCATGTGTATGAGCATGTGCGCACTTCGGGATTGTGGGCAGCTAGACTGGGCTAAGAGAAATGTAGCAGTAAGTATGCTAGTTTGATATGAGAAAACTGTCGGCTGATTCTTAACTGGAAAATACCATGTAGAGTAGGTAGTTGATGCTGTTGTTGTTATTTGCCATGGAGTTGATACATAGTCCTGCACCATTCTCACAATCATTGCTATATTTGAGCCCATTGTTGCAGCCCCTGTATCAAGTAATCTTGGTGTGAATTTTTGCACTGATCTTTTACTTTACCAAGCTTGATGTCCTTTGGGGACTGGTTCCTCATGATAACATGTCAAAAGTACTTGAGATGATGTCTAACCATCCTCCCTTCTAAGGAGCATTCTGGTTATACTTCTTCCAATATAATTTGTTCCTTCTTCTGACAGTCTATAATATATTAATTATTCTTCATCAACAACATAATTTAAAGGCATCTTTCTTCTTCATTGTCCAGCTTTAACATGAATATGAGGCTATTAGTAATATCATGGCTTGAATCAGGCACATCTTCTTTTCAAAGTCCAATGCAGTATGTCTTTTTCATTTTTTGACTGTTGCTTTCATGGGAGTTGGCTGTGGGTCCAAGCAAAATTAATTCCTTGATGAGTTCAATATTTTCTGGGTTTTGGTCAAGTTGTGAGAATCTTGTTTTCTTTATAGTGAGGAGTAATCCATAATGAAGAAAAATGTGGCATCAGGATTGGAGGAGGACTCATTAACAACCTGCAATATGCAGATGATACAACCTTGCTTACTGAAAGTGAAGAGGACTTAAAATACTTACAACCTACAGTATGGATTGCATCTCAATGTAAAGAAAACAAAAATCCCTACCACTCAAACAATAAACAACATTCTTATCAATGGAGAAAATATTGAAGTTGTCAAGGACTTCATTCTTCTTGGATCAACTATCAACACTTACGGAAGCAGCAGTCAAGAAATCAAATGACATATTTTATTAGGCAAATCTGCTGCACAAGAACTTTTTAAAGTGCTGAAGGTCACAGATGTCAGCTTGAGGACTAAGGTGCGCCTGACCCAAGCCATGGTATTTTCAATAACCTCATGTGATGCTAAATCTGGATAGTGAATAAAGAAGATCGTAGAATTGGTACTTTTGCATTATGGTGTTGGAGGAGAATATTGAAAGTGCCATGGGCAGCCAAAAGAACCAGTAGATCTGTGTTGGAAGAAGTGCAGCCAGAGTGCTCCTTGGAGGCCAGGATGTCCAAACTTCGTCTCTCATACTTTGAACATATGGTCAGGAGGGACCAGTTGTTTGAGAAAGATATCATGTTTGGTAAATTGGAGGGTCAGAGAAAAAGAGGAAGACCCCCCAGTGACATGGATTGGCAAAGTGGGAGCATCAATGGGCTCAAGCATGGAAACAACTCTAGGTTGGCTCATGATCGGGTAGTGTTTCGTTCTATTGTGCATAAGGTCACTATGAGTCAGTACCGCCTGGATGACACCTAACCACAACAATCCATAATGAAGGCTGAAGTGTTTAATCTGCTCTTCTTCACTTAAAACAAGCAAGATTGTGTCTGCTTTATTTCAAATCAGTTTTCCTCCAATCCTGATGTTTATTCTGCTTCTTACACTATTTTATAAAACTCAGATTATTTGATCAGCATACAGATTATAGAAATATGGTGAAAGGATATAGCCCTGACATACACTTCTCCTAATTTTCAACAATGAAGCATATCCCTGTGTTTTGCTCTAACAATTGTCTTGTTCCTTTATGTAAGGTTCTGCATTTAATGTTCTAGAATTCCAATTATTCACAATGTTATCCAT